AGTGGTCCTCCTGGCGCTGCGGACCCGGGCGTTGGAGCTGCTACAGGTGCTGAGGACCCGGACGTTGGAGCTGCTCCTGGTGCTGCGGACCCGACTGGTGGCGCTGCTGCTGGTACAGAGGACTCGGACGTTGGAGCTGCTGCTGGAGCTGAGGACCCGAGCGGTGGCGCTGCTGCTGCTGCTGAGGACCCGGGCGTTGGAGCTGCTACTGGTGCTGCGGACCCGACTGGTGGCGCTGCTACTGGTGCTGAGGACCCGACCGGTGACGCTGCTGCTGGTGCTGCGGACCAGGGCGTTGGAGCTACTGCTGGTACTGAGGACTCGGGTGTTGGAGCTACTGCTGGTGCTGAGGACTTGGGCGCTGGGGCTGCCGCTGGTGTCCCTGCTGCTTCTGGAGACGCTGCGCGGCCGCGACCGTACTTCGTCCCGCTCCTTCAGCAGGTTCTTGGTCAGGCTCCTCCTCCTGGTCCTCCTCCCTCCGTCGAGGGTCCTCTACCTGTCCAGCCGCAGTCACAGTTACCGCCCGCCTCGCCTCTCCCTGCTCCCTCTCCTTACGCTGGTCCCACAGGAGGTCTTACAGAGCGTCGTGAGCCTGAGTCTCGTCCTGCGTCGCCTGTTCGTACCGCTCGCACTGGTCGTCGTGTCCCACGTGAGCGTCCTCCTCCTGTCCCTGGCACTCACTACATGACTCTGCGTCCCTCCACTGCTCCTCAGCGTGTTCCGCTGCCGTCTCCTCCTGCGTCCTCCCTACCTACTCTTCCTGACCCGGAGTCTGACGCCCGTCGTGCTGCCAGTCCCACTGTTACGCGTCTCCTTGCTACCGTTGTCACTGACCCTTCTTTTGAGTCCGCCGCTGCGTCTGCTCTGGTCGCTGAGTTAGTTGACTTTGCTGCTTGCTGTCGCCTAGACTACGCTGCTAGCCTAGTGGCTGAGTCTGAGTCTGAGTCTGCCTGTCCTCCGTCCGTCGGGGGTGCGTGTGCTCTTGGCACGGACGTCCTTGAGGACAGACAGGAGGAGTTCTAGTGCTTTGCTGCTGCTTTGCCCCACCTCGTGTCCATGCTAGTTGCCCCTGAGGGAGACCCGGATGCACCAGACATCCCGACCCCGCGCACTTACGCTGAGGCGATGGCGGGTCCCTACTCCTCTCAGTGGCAGACAGCCATGGACGCAGAGATGGCTTCCTGGAAGTCCACACGCACCTACGTCGACGACGTCCCCCCTCCTGGGGCGAACATCGTCAGTGGCATGTGGATTTTCAGGGTGAAGCGGCCGCCGGGTTCTCCGCCTGTCTTCAAGGCGCGCTACGTGGCTCGAGGCTTCAGTCAGCGAGAGGGAGTAGACTTCTTCCAGACCTTCTCCCCCACCCCGAAGATGACCACTCTTCGGGTGCTGCTACACATAGCCGCTCAGCGCGACTACGAGCTTCACTCACTTGACTTCAGCACTGCTTTCTTGCAGGGCAGCCTGCACGAGAAGATCTGGCTGCGCCGCCCTCCTGGCTTCACTGGGCCGGTTCCTCCTGGCACCCAGTGGAGGCTTCAGCGGCCGGTCTACGGTCTCCGCCAGGCACCACGTGAGTGGCACGACACACTGAGGACGACACTTGCGACTCTTGGGTTCGCACCTTCTACAGCTGACCCGTCGCTGTTCTTGCGCACCGACACTTCGCTGCCGCCGTTCTACATCCTCGTGTACGTCGATGACTTGGTCTTTGCCACTGCTGACACTGCAGGACTCGCCTACGTGAAGTCGGAGCTGCAGAGGAGACACACGTGTACAGACCTGGGTGAACTGACAAGCTATCTTGGCTTGCGGATCACCCGGGACAGAGCACGGCGCACCATCACCCTGACTCAGTCGCACATGGTGCAGCAGGTTCTCCAGCGCTTCCGCTTCACGTACTCCTCGCCTCAGTCCACTCCTATGGCTACCGGTCACTCGCTCTCAGCTCTGCCTTCGGATGAGTCCGTAGAGTCGAGTGGCCCGTACCCAGAGCTTGTGGGCTGCCTCATGTACCTGATGACCTGCACTCGACCTGACCTTGCATACCCTCTTAGCATCCTTGCACGCTATGTCGCTCCTGGCCGTCACAGGAAGGAGCACATGGATGCCGCTAAGAGGGTGTTGCGCTACTTGTGCAGTACGTCGGGCATGGGGCTTGTGCTTGGAGGGCGAGACCGAGTTGTTCTCACAGGGCACTCAGACGCTTCTTGGGCAGACGACCAGGCCACTCAGCGGTCGTCTCAGGGTTACTCCTTCAGCCTTGGCTCTGGCTCAGTTTCTTGGCGCTCTACACGCTCTTCTTCTGTTCTCAGCTCCAGTTGCGAGGCTGAGATCTACGCCACAGCCATGGCTGCCCAGGAGCTACGCTGGCTGACCTACCTGCTGACCGACCTTGGGGAGCGGCCTCGTTCTCCTCCAGTGCTGTACGTCGACAACCAGGCAGCCATTGCCCTGTGTGAGGAGCACAGACTGGAGCACAGAACGAAGCACATCGCTCTGCGGTACTTCCTTGCTCGAGAGTTGCAGCAGCGAGGTCAGCTTCGTCTGCGTTACGTGGCCACCGAGGCCAACCTTGCTGATGTGTTCACCAAGGCACTTCCGCCTGTTGACCATCAGCGCTTTTGTACTCTTCTGGGCCTTGTGCCTACTGGACCTCACTTGCTCACTTCTTGACCTTGCTTATACTGTGATCATTATATATATATGCCTGCATGTCTACTCTTGCTAGGTTGTGATCATTGTATATCATGATCTGTTATAAACTTGCATGTGAACTGGGCTTGTGACCGCTAGTTTGTGCTCGGAATTTGTGTGGAACCCTTGAGGTCCACCCTGAGCTTGTTGTTGCCTTGCTTTGCCTTGACTGGTCTTGTGACCCCTAGGTCTTCCCCACTTTGCCTATGGGGGTGTGTCAAACATTATATGTTTATATTGTTCTAGGCTGTAGTGGGTGATACCTTAGGGGGTATACCAGGTTAGGGTTTCATATTTGTACTGTTGTTCCTGTTAGTCACACCATTCCTGCTCAGTTATTTCTGACATCTCTCTCTCTCTCTCTCTCTCTCACTCTCTCTCTCTCTCTCTCTCTCTCTCTCTCTCTCTCTCTCTCTCTCTCTCTCTCTCTCTCTCTCGTTCTCTCTTTTCCGTTCTGTCTCGTTCTCTCTTTCTTGTTCTCTCTTTTCCATTCTGTCTCGTTCTCTCGTTCTCGTTCTCTCGTTCTTTTTCTCTCACGTTTTTTTCTCGTTTCCTTTCCATTCTTTTTAACGGTCATTGTTTTTTTGTAAGTCTGCTTTCTGCCTCCTCATTTCCTGGTGTTACTTAGATCGTTTTCCCTTTATTTCAGATCGTGTTATTTGAGTCGTGTTTCATTTTTTTCTCTTGATTTTTATAACCGTTAATAGGATTTTTTTTTATAACCCATCGCAATAGGTTAATCGCCTTTTTACAAGTCGTTTTCTATATTTAGCTCGCTTGTCCTAAGCCTTCCTCTTATTTGCTGTTTATTGGACGAGAATCTAAACTTCCCCTCCCTCCCCTCTCTTTCCCCCCACCACCCTTCCCTCCCCTCCTTCCCCCCCCCCCCCCCCCCCCCCCCCCCCCCCCCCCCCCCCCCCCTTTTTTTAATGTTCAGAGGCTTTGCTATTTCCTGCGCGCTGCCAGGATTTCTTACGAAGTGTAACGATAATAGTCGTGACTTGTAGAGCTGTATTGTATTGATAAATCTTGTTTGCATTTGTTTTATTGTTTTTACTGTTTTTTTTCATTGCCCTTTTGTGTGTGAACGGATTCTGTCTGAGTTGTGTGCATATCGGTATGTGTGTCAGTGCGTGTCTTTGTGTGTGCACACTCATCCGTATGCATCTGTCATCGCATTAACAATGCGGATCTGTGGGTTTTAAAAAGATGGTCAAACCATCATTTCCGAGAAGGTTCTTTGCGCACTCAGTGAGTGTGTCCACTTGAACTGGATTTGATGGATCTTGATCATTTTTTTAATTTACACAGATTGTGTTGTTTCATGTAACGGTTGGATGATTCAGAAACTATGCTATTGAGCTCCCCCCCATGCTAGGCAGGGGATGCGGTAGCATAGAGCCTGTGTCAATTAACTGTTACGCATTTCCATCATGCTAAGCATTCATTTAACTACGACTTAAAGCTGGAAAATATACTATGGTATATTTACCACAGTAGCATATGCATTATATTTATGCATTGTTCATTCAATATTTGGTTCACCATATCCATCATTATACTTCATCTATGCATAACATGGTACGGAATAGACAGTCATGCGTTCACAGTAACATCATTTCGGCAACACATGTTCATGTTTGATCCATACAATATACGGGTAGGTTCAGTCGAGGCAAACTAGGAAATGAGAACGAATGTGGCGAATTGCCGAGGCAAATACATACCGTAGCAGTCAATCACTTACCATAACTACCGTTCACTACATTTATTTTTATTTTTTTTCGAGGTTGAAAAAAAAATTGTACATAACGATCGTAATAGGTTGCTTCGCAACCCAAAAAAACGAATCCTGATCTTCACTCACATGATATCTTGGAACATAATTGCAGACGTTACAATATACAGCAGCCGTGTGACTCGACACGGTATTCGCACTCTGCGCTTGCGCTTCACTTCACACATGGCTTTCTCTACCGGAAACAGGAAGGACAAATGTTTGCGACCTTTTTTCACACCTGCTGATAGGAATGTACCCTAATTTCAGATATGCCAGTAGACATCACCAGAATATTGCACCGATACTCGTGAGAAATACACGGTCGATAAGAACCCGTCAAAGCAGCGGAATCTATTCTTGATTAGAAGCGTGAGAAATGGTGCTGCTTCTTAGACCGTGTCACTGTGTCAGCGTTCATTTGTTTCTGCTAGCCCGAAGGAGCAGGCATTCTGTATTAGCTGAAATGTGGAGTCAGGTATACTGCAGCAGGTGTCCATTGATCCCCTTGCACTATGGTACCTCCTCATTCTTGCTCCTCTGATGTGTGCCGCACCACCCAGGGATGGCCTGCATGGAAGGGAACGAACAGACATGGCATGATCAGGCATTGTATGGCCAAAAGCTACATACTTTAGTCAGCTTGACAGGCCTGCATCAGTCTGGTAGCATCGTATTCTCTGAAGCGGCGCTGATGCCAAGCAAAAGCTGCTCTATTTGTGCTGAAGGGACAGGTTGCAGAAAGGACCACTTTTTGTCTGATGTGTCTAGCGGCGAGAGGAGTAAAGGGAGACACGAAGCAGCAGAGGTGAATAAAATCACCATGAGCCTGGTGGGAACTCCTCATGCTGGATGCACTCTCTAGGGTTCGTCTTGAGCATGCGCATGCATAGTCATGCAGCCATGCTTCCGTGGGCGCATGCATTGTGATGCAGCCATGCTGCCATGGGCGCATGCATTGTGATGCAGCCATGCTGCCATGGGCGCATGCATTGTGATGCAGCCATGGTGCCATGCGCGCATGCATTGTGATGCAGCCATGGTGCCATGGGCGCATGCATTGTGATGCAGCCATGGTGCCATGGGCGCATGCATTGTGATGCAGCAAGGGCTGCCATGCGCGCATGCATTGTGATGCAGCCATGGTGCCATGGGCGCATGCATTGTGATGCAGCCATGGTGCCATGGGCGCATGCATTGTGATGCAGCCACGGTGCCATGGGCACATGCATTGTGATGCATGGGCGCATGCAAGGACACCAAGCGTCCATGGAGAGCCAAGTGGACCCGCACTACATGTGTATGTGCATGTCTGCTGTGTGCATGTATGAATGTGTGCATTTGTGCATGTATGAATGTGTGCATGTATGAATGTGTGCAAGTATGAATATGTGCATGTATGAAGGTGTGCATGTATGAAGGTGTGCATGTGTGAAGTGAATGTGTGCATTTGTGGATGTGTGCATGTGTGAATGTGTGGATGTGTGAATGTGTGCATGTGTGAATTTGTGCATGTGTGAATGTGTGCATGTGTAAATGTGTGCATGTGTGAATGTGTGCATGTGTGAATGAGTGCATGTGTAAATGTGTGCATGTGTGAATGTGTGCATGTGTGAATGTGTGCATGTGTAAATGTGTGCATGTGTGAATGTGTGCATGTGTGAATGTGCGCATGTCCGCATGTGCCAGCTTCCACTCAGCACTTCCTCTGCAAGAATCGCTACGCGAATGCGCATGGTGAGCCCATGCTCAGCTCAGCTCCTTCACATTGCGACCATGGCTGGCCATGGGTACAGGCAACGACACCCACACAAGACCAGATGCCATGCATGCCTTAGACTCACTCAGCACTTGCTCCGCGGTGATGCGTGACCGAGGGTACTCCTTGAGCATGCGCATGATGATGGGGGCATGATGAGCTCCCTCACATTCCAATGCAGGCCGCGCATGAGCGGGCATGAAATCGACTAGACTCACTCAGCACTTGTTCCGCGGTGATGCGCGAGCGCGGGTTCTTCTTGAGCATGCGCATGATGAGCTCCTTGACGTCGTCCGACACGCCCGCCCACTTGAAGTACTTGAAGTCCACCTTCTTGCGCCGTATCGCCTCCTCCAACGTGCGATTCGTCGACGCCCAGAAGGGCGGCACGCCCGACAGGATCACGTAGAGCACCACCCCCGCGCTCCAGATGTCCGCCTCCACGCCGTACACCGCGTCCAGCACCTCAGGCGCCATGTACTCCGGTGTGCCCGCCACCTCGCTGCATGGACCAGCTGGAAGGGAATGGGGGGAGCAGTGAGGGGGGAGGTGGGGAGTGCGGGAAGTGGGGGGTTGGGGGGGAAATGTGGGGTGGGTGGGGTGGAAGTTGCGGGAAATGGCAAGGGCGGGCGGCAGCAGGGAGAGCGGATTCGGATGTGGTTGAAGCGACGAGGTAGCTGCTTTTCTCCCGAAAACAATCAAGGCATCATTCAATAGCGCTGGAGAGGTGGGAAACGGTCTGAGACGGTGGACGGGAGAGGGGAGCAGGGAGAGGGGAGAAGGAAGAAAGGAGAAGGGAGAAAGGAGAAGGGAGGGGAGAACGAATGTTGGTACTACGAGAAGGAAGAAAGGAGTAGAAGAGAGAGAAGCTTGGAGCACTCCAATCCCCACCAGACTCTCCCCTCCCTGCCACCCCACGCTCGCCTCACCTTGCTCGAGACTCGTAGCAACCCCAAAGTCAATGAGCTTGATACCCTTGCTGTCATCTGTGCGGTCAGCCATGAGGATGTTCTCGGGCTTCACATCGCGGTGCAGGATGCCGTGCGCGTGGCAGTGCATCAGCGCGCCCATCAGTGCCTTGAGCACCAGCGCTGCCGTGCGCTCCGACAGCTGCCCGCGCGCCTTGATGCAGTCGAACAGGTCCCCGCCCGCACACAGCTCCATTATCACACGGATGCTCTGATCATGGGGAGGACGATGATGGGGGGAGGTGGGGTGGGAAGTGGGGAGGGAGTGGGGAGGGAAGGAGGTGCGGGAGGAAGAGCGCGGATAAGCGTGCTCATTAGTGGCGCCACAGCAGTGCTGTCGGGCAGCTGGGAGCGCGCCTTGATGCAGTCGAATAGATCGCCCCCCGCACACAGCTCATGATCATGCGGATGCTCTGATCACGCACGGAGGCAGAGCAAGGGGGAACGGGGAGTGGGGAGGGGAAGAAGTGGGGGAAGGAGGGGAGGCAGCAAGTCAGCATGGTCGTCAGCATGGTCGTCAGTTCTGTGGTAAGATTGCCGCCAGCCAGGTGAGTGCAGGGTTTGTTGCACCTAGATGGGCCGTGTCGCTGGCACAGCCCCCCGTCATGAGATGGACAGAAAGTGTGTTGCCAGATCATGAGTGCCTCGGTGCCCACCACCCATGCCCCACCACCCATGCCCCACCACCCATGCCCCACCACCCATGCCCCACCACCCATGCCCCACCACCCATGCCCCACCACTCATGCGCCCACCACCACCCATCACCACACCCCACCTGGCTGTCCTCCATGACGCCCTGCAGGTTGACGATGTGCGGGTGGCCCTGCAGCCTGCACGTGGCTTACCATGCTCCCGCCACCCATGCCCCACCACCACACATCACCGCACTGCACCTGGTGGTCCTCCAGGACGCCCTGCAGGTTGACGATGTGCGGGTGGCCCTGCAGCCGCGCCAGGAACGCCACCTCCCTCCGCACGTCCTCCGCGTCCTCCATGCACTGCCACCAGGGGGGGCGGGCGGTGGTGGGAAGGGGGGAGAGAGGACATGGGCAAGAGGGGAGGAAGCGGAGGGAGGGGATGGAGGGGATAGAGGGGAGGGAGGGAAGAGAGGGGAGGGAGGAGATGGGAGGAAGGGGAGGGAAGGGAGGGAGGGGAGGGAGAAGAGGGAGGGTGAAAGGAGGGAAGGGTTGGGGAGCGTGTGCATGTGCGGCGTCCATCCACCACGATTCGAGCTGTGCTCTCTCGGCCTCACCCAACTCCTCCTTGCCCTTCATCTCAAGGTTAACCACCCCCCCCACCACCCACACCACCCCCCCCCCCCCCCCCCCCTTCCAACAGCAAGCCCATCAGCCGCAGCAATCCTCACAGGCACGCGTGGTCCTACTCACAGTGATGCTCTTCTTGTCGATGGTCTTGCAGGCGAACACGCGCCCAGTGGCGCGCTCCAGGCACGTGCGGATGGACCCAAAGCGCCCCGCACCGATCTCGTGCTTGCCCAGGGAGTAGCGAGCGCGCACGTCCTCATAGGGCATGCGCAGGATGTGGTCCGTTATGGGCGCCAGCTGCCCCATCGGGTCGTCCCGCAACACCATGGCCAAAGCCTGCAGCTCCACCCGCTGCTGGGGAAGGTTGCTCTGAGGGAGGTTGTTGGGGAGAGGTTTGGTTTGGGGTGGGTGGTGCTGCTGCGCTCCCTGGCCGTGGAGTGTGTCTGATTCCAGCTGAAGCTGCTCCATCTGCTCCAGCTGCTCCATCTGCTCCATCTGCTCAATCATGTGCTTGGGGTGCGGTGTTGGCGCCTGCTCCTCCTCCTCCTCCTCCTCCTCCTCCTGCCCACTGCTCACCTCTGCTGCTGCTCCTGCTGTGGTTGCAGCAGCTGCTCGTGATTCAACCCCACCTGCCGCACCTCTCTCCTGCCCACTGCCCAGCCTGGACCTCCTATAGCCCTCCCTGCCTCCCACGCCAGCAGCAGCAGCAGCAGCACGAGCAGCAGAATGAGCTACAGAACCAGCACTGGTAAACGCAGCGGCACCAGCACCGGCGTTAGTGTTAGTGTCAGTGAGAATGTCCCCGTCGCTGCTGTCCCGGCCTCCCTCACGGCTGCTGAAGCTGCTGTTGGCGTCCCCTGATGCCAGCTTGGCAGCGTCCGCCAGGAATGCCGCCATGCGAGCACTCGCACCACTATCACCACCAGCACCACCAGTACCAGCTGCTGCAGCACCAGCAGTACCACCAGCAGCGGCAGCATGGCGAGTGACGTCAGCAGCAGAGGCAGCAGTGCCACTGATGCTGTTACCAGTGCCGCTGCCGCTGCCACTGCCACTGCTGCTCTGCAACCTCCTCCGCCTCATCTGCTGCAGCAGCTGCTGGTGCTCACTCCCCTCCTGCATCGGCTGCTGCTCCTGCCGCTGCCGTTGCTCCTGCTCATACCTTTCCTGCAGCCCGAATGCCCGTTCCTGCTCACGACCTTCATCCCCATACCCGTACCCCAACCCCTCCCCCATGGCTTGCAGTCCCACCTCACACGCACTCGCCTGCCTCCTGCCCCTTCCCCCCCTCGCTGCTAGCCCTCCCCCCTCCGCTCCACCTACCCTCCCCCCGCGCCTTTCGCCCACCTGCCCCTCCGCTCTCACGTACCCCATCTCCTCCTTGGCCCAATTGCTGCTACTGCCGCTACCGCCCTCCCCCACCCTGTCTGTGCCACCCACGCCTCCTCTCTCTCCTGCCCCTCCGCCGCCTGCCATGCCGCCTGCAGCGCTCTTACCTCCAGCTGTCCCCGCCCCGCCCGCTGCGCCCATGCCGCCAGCGAGCGCGTGGTGCAGGAGGTGGCGGGGCACGTCTTCAAACCCCAGGTAGAAGTCAACCGCGGACGGCCCCGCTGCTGCCGTGTGCACTGCTGCCGCCTTGGCACGCCGCTGGTCACGTGCAGCACGAATCATCTCGTCCACACTCACCATCCGCCTGTGCTGCTGGCTCGTCTCGCCCTGCCCCCCCGCCCCATCCCCACGCCCGCCCACCCCTCCCGCTGCCCTACCGCCTCTGGCAGCACCAGCACCAGCAGCACCATCCACACCAGCACCAGCAGCGGCAGAGGCAGCAGGGCGGTCAGTAGCAGCAGCAGCAGCGGCGGGCAGGCCAGCAGCAGCCACGGCGTCTCGGTACCGCACTGCCTGCAGCCGCTCTTCCCTCTTCTTCCTCCGTGCCATGCCATCCACCACACTCATGCCTCCCACCCCGCCCGCTCCTCCCACTCCCCCTTCTCTGTCCCCTGCCCCTGCCCCTTCCTCTCCCCCTGCACCTTCCCCTTCCCCGGCCCCTGGTCCTGCCCCTGCTCTCCCTCGCCCTACCTGACCAGCAGTGGCGCTGCTGCTGGAAGCGCTAAGGGGAGACCCGGACGCGTGCCCCTCGTGGCCAGCCGGCCTGCCTCTCTGCTGCGCGGTGTTACCCCCCTGCTCCCCAAACGACCCCATCTCGCCAGGAGCAGTGCGCTCCGCGCTGGACGCGCGCTGGCTGCTGCTATTGGCCCGCTCGCCCAGCGAGCTCTGGTCGCTGTACGACCCGTTCCTCCTCTCCCACTCCTCCTGCTGCTGCTGCCGCCGCCGCTGCTGCTGGTACTGCCCCTGCTGCTGCCGCTGCCCCTGGTGCTGCGGCTGCCCCTGCTGCCCCTGGTGAAGCTGCCGGCCCTGCTGCCGGTACTCCTCTTCCTCGCTCCCGTACGCGCCATCCACCCCTCTCCTCGCCTCCACGATCCCCTGCGCATCTCTCCACGCCTGCCTCTCAGGCTCGGACCCGCCACGCATTTGCTGCCGAGGCTCCCTTCCAGGCTCGGACCCACCACGCGACTGGTGCCGAACCTGCCGCTCGGGCTCGGAGCCACCGCGCCACTGCTTGAGCGTGGCCTCGGACTCCCAGACGCCCTCGTGCTGGCAGTCCTGGACGAGGTCCCTGGCGGCCTGCAGCACGCTGTGAATGGCGTCCTGGTTGCGCTCGTACCCCTCAAACGCCGCAAAGTCCTCGTGCGTTAGGCTCGCCAGAGGGGACGTGGGCGGGGTCGTCCGAATGCCACCACCGCCGCTGCCGCCGCTGCTGCCGACGCCACCAGCAGCACCACCCCCTCCTACAACAGTTCCCCGGCCTCCCCCCCTACCGCCTCCCAGGCGCCTACCGCTGGCACCTCCCCCAGGAAAGCCGTCCCTGGAAGGCCTCTCTCCAAAAGCCCCCTCCCCAGGGAGAACCTGCGACAGAGGGGAGGTGGTCCGTGGGCCTGCTGCTGCTCCGCGCAACCCTTGCCCAGGGGCACCCACTGCGCGCCCCTCCAATCCCCCGTGCCCCGTTTGCCTCCCTCCTGTGCCACCTCCCGACCATTCCGCGGGGGATGCACCTGCACCCGGTAACCCCTTACCGTTTCCATCCCCACCGCCACTCCCACCACCGCCGCCGCCGCCGCCTCCCAATCCGCCACCCCTGCCGTGTCCGCTGCCGCCACTCAAGGAATGCCGAGCCCCAGCACCCAGCTGGTTACCACCGCCGACGAAACTGGCGACGTGGGTGCCATCCGCAAGGTCACCTGACATCGCGAACTGCTGCGAATCGTACGAAATTGGCCTGCGGCGGTCCTTGCTAGGATCGCTCACGGGACCCCCGCGACCTGGCCCCGGCGCGCGGGGAGGCACGCGGGATGCGGACATCATCTCCCCCACGTGCCCCACGCTGTGGCTCGAAACCCTAACTCGCCGTCCCGGCATGCCGCCATCCGTCTGCGGCGCATAAGCGTCACTATTCTGCTGGGAATAATTTACCTTCGATGGGACCCGGTAATCCGCCTCTACCTGTTCTTCCGGGTGAGATGCTCGACGTCCCGCGCTGCGCGTAGCGCCGTCAGGCGAGGAGGAGAGGGGGGAGGAGAAGCTCGGCAGGTTACTGTGGCTCCGGCTGTGCCTGTCGGACGATTCCTGACGGAGCCGCATCGCGGCTGACGGCGGACGGCGAAGACTGTCGGCGGACTGCTGCCGGCCGTGACGTGGCCGGTAGAGACTCGGAAGCGGCAAGCCTCCATGCTGCTCCGCCGTGGCGCGACGCGGCGGTGTCGCTGTAGCTTGTTCGGGAGGCTCGTTGTGAGGCGATTGGCGCTGCTGCTGGTGCAACGTGAGTTGGTGTTGGCGTTGCAGTTCATCAGCATGCGGCTCATACTGCCGTTGCTGCTCCTGCTGCCGTACCTGCTGCTGCTCCTGCTGCCGTACCTGCGGCCGTTGCCGTACCTGCTGCTGCTGCTGCTGCTGCTGCTGCTCGTAATAGTACCGCTGCTCTTCGTCCTGCATGTTCTCCCGCCGGTGCTGTTGATGCTGCTGGTATTCGTACCTACCTGGCTCTGTCTCCTCTAGATAGTCCCTTCCATGCCGCGTCATCGCATGCTGCGGCTCCTGCACCTGCCGCTGCTCCTGTTCCTGTCGCCATTGCTCCACGGGAATCAACAAGCTACCCGCCGACGCGCCTCGCCGGTGCTGACCTCTACGGAGCCCCGTCGACGGACGCGTCTGTGGCTGCGTGACATACGGCTGCGAATTGAACGGCTTCGAATCGTATGGTTGTTGATCGAACGGTGTGGAAGCAGAAGCGGCGTTGGACGACATCCTTCCTGGCCGTTGATTTGAGGGGATGTCGCAGCAATCGCGGAACACGTCTGCGGTGCTCATGCTTCGCAATTGAAGCTCGAAATGCGTCTAGAACGCATTGGTTGTGCAATGAAGATTAGGGCAATAAACGAAAGACCGTTGTAAAACACGACTAATAAATATCCTCTCGAGAACAAACTAACGCGTTTCGACAAAGCCACATGTCAGCCACCCAACCACTAGAAGATGCGTGAGCTTGCATAATGGTTCCAAGCAGCCCAAATGTAAGCACAATGTGGCTAGGTATTGGGAAGGAAAACGGATAAGTTAGGTGCTGAGCTGGTGGTTAGTGGCTCTGGCTGGTGGTTGGCGGATGAAGAACCCACCCATCCAGTTGAAACCAAACCAGCACAACAAGGGGTACCACCATGCGGCCTTGTCAGGCGGGTCGTAGGGCTCGTTTAGCGCGGTTCAGTAGGTTAATTCAAGGCTAATAGCGGTTCTTGATTTCCACCGATCTAGACCGTTGCTCACCAAACCGCGCCTTACAAAGTCTTGAAAATGAATACTGTAAGACCCTTCCTCGCACACCCAGTCTTCCAATTTCTGTCACAAACATACAGTACGTCAACCCAACCCTCTCCCATGGCCCATGGGCAGGTTGCCGACGGTGCTTGTTTGGACAGACGAGGTGGGTGAGGGGGAGAAGGGCGTGATGAATTGCAACAGAAGTGTGTCCAAGGCATCCCCGAGCCAAGGCACGTGAACGCAAACCTATCAGCTAGTCAACAGCAGCTGCGGACCAGACCAGAACCAGCTTTGGGGACCCACAGAAACCGAACACCCAGCCTACCCACGTGCCAGCACGAAATCTGGGTGACTGGATAGAGCCAACTCCGCGTGCGTGAGAGGGCGGTTCCTGTAAGGAATTTAGCTAATTCCTTACTGAGGCAGCTCTTACGCGTACAATTCCAACTTTCGGAATTCAGGCTCGGTCCGTCGACCTCGCCTTCCGAACGTCCGCCGCGTCGCCTTCGGGTTTCCCAACCCCAAACCTGCACCCAACCTTCGCGCGACTCCGCGACCTCGGCCTAGCTAGCTTTGCTATATTGTGCCTAGGCCTCGTTGTTCGATCAGTAGTTGTAATCACTTCCGCGATATTGCATTCTGCGCACTCTTCATTCTTACAACTCATAACAGTTCCCCCCAGTTGTAACAAGATCAGTGTTATTGTAATGAATATATGTAAGGAATTTTCTCGGCATTCCTTACGGAGTCCGGCTACATCGCGTACAGCACTGCCGTTGTTCGCCCGTTACTGCTAACGGGACTTCGCCAACTTCGCGCGCACTGTTTTGCCAAACCTCGCACTGCTGGCCCGGCCGTGTCGGCCTACGCTTCGGGACTAGCCCGAGCCTCATTGCCAGCGTAGCACTAGCTAGCTCGCACGCACCGCGTTACCGTTTGCATGTTCGCATACAAATGTTCGCTCATGCCTTCGCTCACATCTTTGTACTCGTTTGACATACTAGTGCAATCCTCGCTACCTCGATCCATTGCACCCGTAACACATGGTATTCAGAGCTTCTTTCCTTTTCGGACCGCGCATCTCCGCACCCCAGGAAATCAACTTTTGATTTTTCACTCGAAGGGACTCACGCACCTTAGCCCCTAGGAGCCGCTGTCCTCGCGTTCTCTCGTAAACGCGTGCAGCCACGACTGCGCCTAGACTAAGCCGAGCCGACGCCCTTCGCCATGGCCGAACACATCGACGTCACCACTCTCACGCAGGAGCGTCTGAACGAACTGCTGCAGCAACTTCGCGAAAGTTCCGAAGAAATCGCGGCGCTGACGGCAGAACGCTCGTCCCTGCAGAACGACCTCACGAGAGCACAATCTCAAGCACCTGGCACTCCGGAACAGCCCGCACCCTCGACATCGCAACACGGAAGCGTGGGGCAACCCGCGAGCGCGGCTGGTGATGGCGTCGTCCGCCCCGACGGAGACGACGACCATGGCACGACACACCCCGAGGCGACGAATGCGGCCCCAAGCCGGCCCCGCGTCACGATTTCGGCACCGACCCACGATTCGGAGCTGCCGTCACCGATGCCGCTGAAGCCGCAGCGTCCGCCGTGTTTTGACCCGAGTCAACGGGGTGGTCCTACCGTTCAAGCGTGGTTGTTCACGATGAACGTGTTTTTCGACGCCAACTACGTCTCGGAGGATACGGCGAAGATTCGCTACGCCGTGTCGCTGCTGCGAGGACCCGCCATGGATTGGTGGCGCGTCATCGTCACGAAGCCGAACGACTACGCGACTCTACCGACACGGGAAGGACAAACCGGACCCTGGGCGCCGTCGTATTTCGTGGAGGTGCCCCAATATCGCACGTGGGACGCGTGGTGCGCAGGTCTGCGCGCTCGATTTGAGCCAATTGCGGCTTCGATCGCGGCGCGACAGAAGCTCCGCACTTGGCGCCAACTCGGTTCCGTCCAGGACTACACCAGCGGGTTTCTGGCGCTATGCGAGCAGGTGGGCTACATGCACGAGAGCGAGCGCGTCGACCGCTACATCGGCGGCCTGAAGCACGACATCGCTCAGGAAATCCAGCTTCGCGGCGTCACCGACTTTCAGGAGATTCTCGCTATGGCGGAGAAGCTCGACTTCTTCAGCCGACCGAGACCGGGGTCCTACAGCAGTAGCAGCAACTGGGGACATCGGTCTCGTGGGACGAACGAGGGCGCTACGATACGTGCCGTCGCCGCGAATGCCGCTGCCGCACCGTTCAAAGGGCGCTGCTTCGCGTGCAATCGGCCGGGACACCGCAAAAGCGAATGCCCGGAAAACGCTAAGGGAAAGGGGGAAGCTGAGCAGCAGAAACAGACCAAGCAGCAGGGAAACGCTGGGAGTCAGTAGCAGACGGGCCCTCTACTGACAGGTCACGCCGCTCGCCCGACCCAACCGACCCTCACCGAGTGATTGTGCCGGTTCACGCAGTCGACCACACTCGGCCGAATAAGGAGGGTACCACGGTAGACAGCCCCATACTGCTTAGTGGGAAAATAGGCACGGACTTAGTTAAAATCTTCGTAGACGGGGGAGCCAGCCACAGCCTCATCAACACTGCCACGGCACGGAAGCTGAAACTGCCACTGGACAAATGCTTACCTGAGACCGATGCAAGACTGATCGACGGCACGCCGCTGGCGATACGGGAACGCGTAGACCGAGTTCGGATTCGATGCGGGGGTAACTTCACGTTTAGCCAGGAAATGCTCGCGACGACCCTCGACGGAACCGACATTTTACTCGGTCGGGATTGGTTGCGACGGCACAATCCGCGAATCGACTGGACGACGGGTGACTGCACCGTGCGAGTGAACGGTAACAACATCGCCTTACCTCGCTGGAGCTCGCCTGAGTCTTCGTCGGTGCGTGTCAACGCGATCACAATGAAGCGCGCCGTAGCGGCAGGAGCTGACGTGTATGCGGTTGACATTCGGGAAGCCGAAGCAGCAGACCAGGGAGGGGATTTACAGAAACTACTTGCCGACGTACCGGATGACCTGGCAGCACTCCTGAAGCAGTACAGCGAGATTTTCCCAGACGATCTGCCGACGGGACTGCCACCTCAGCGACCGCACGACCACAGGATAGAATTAGAACCGGGGGCACAGCCGACAGTACAGCGACAGTTCCGACTGACCCAACCCGAACTGGACGAACTGAGGAAGCAGCTCGATTACCTGCTCGAGAAGGAGTTCATTCGCCCTAGTTCGTCACCCTTCGCCGCGCCAATACTCTTCACGCCGAAGAAAGACGGGGGTTTTTGCATGTACATCGACTACAGAGCACTGAACATGGTTACCATTAAGTCACATTACCCCATCCCGCGAGCCGACGAACTGATCGACCAACTGCGCACAGCCCGGGTTTTCTCCAAAATTGACCTTAGAGGGGGTTACCACCAGATTCGCGTCAATCCGCCCGACTGCCCTAAGACCGCATTTCGCACCCGCTACGGATCCTTCGAATACACCGTCATGCCCTTCGGACTGACCAACGCCCCCGCCACTTTCCAAATGACGATGAACGAGACATTCCGCCCGCTTTTAGATAAGTGCGTCATCGTCTACTTAGATGACATACTGATTTACAGCCCCGACAGAGCACAGCACCTACAGGACATTGAAGCAGTTTTTAAAATACTGAGTGAGAACCGCCTACTGACGAAAGCGTCTAAGTGTGAGTTTCTACAGGACAGACTGGAGTTTCAGCCGACGGAGTGGAAATAGACCCGAAGAAGATCGCGACGATTCAGGCTTGGCACGCATCTACGAATCTGACTGAGCTGCAGAGTTTTTTGGGGTTCGTCAACTACGTGCGCCGGTTCGTCCCCGACATGGCGAAGCTGACCGCCCCGCTGACCGACTTGCTGAGGAAGGGGGTTGAGTACACGTGGGGGGAGAAAGAGCAAGCTGCCTTCTCGGCCCTCAAGAAAATTTTGTGCTCGCCGCCCGTGCTTCACATCGCAGATCCGCACCGACCGTTCGAGCTCGTCACCGACGCAAGTGACATCGCTGTGGGAGCAGTACTGTTGCAGGATTTCGGAAACGGCCTTCAGCCAATCGCGTATGATTCCCGCAAGCTGCACCCGCCCGAGCGCAACTACCCGATACACGACCGCGAGATGCTGGCGATCGTGCACGCGTTCAAGGTTTGGCGGTGTTACCTGACTGGCGCCGACGTGACAGTACGGACAGACCACAGATCACTACAGTACCTGCGCGCCCAACCGAATCTCAATCCGCGACAGATCCGCTGGTTGGACTACCTCGAGTCCAACTTCCACTACACAGCTACGTACAAGAAGGGCGCATCAAATATTGCCGACGCACTCACCCGCCCTACCGCCCAACTCCATGCCATCCTACTCGTCCAGACCAACCCGCTTTTAACAGGCCTATTCACCCACGGATACCGCACCGACCCATTTTTCACGACCGGAAATTCACAGCACTTGGCAGAAGCTAAGGGAGTGTATTACGTAAAAACAGGCACCAACCGCATTTGGGTGCCTGCGTACTCACTACTGAGGGAGCTGCTACTGCAGGAGGCACACGACGAGATTACCTCGGGACATTTCGGGGTAGAAAAAACGCGACAGCAACTGCAGCGGTATTACTACTGGCCGGAGCTGTTGACCGACGTGCAGCAGCACGTGGGCTCTTGTCCCACGTGTCAGGTAATGAAGAGCTCGAGGAAGCGGAAGGCGGGCCAGTTGCAACCGATACCACCGCCCGAGCGCGCCTGGCAGCAGGTTACCATGGACTTCGTCACGGGGTTACCTTCGAACCCTGGGGGTAACGACGCGGTAATGGTCGTCGTTGACAGACTGACGAAGATGGCACACTTCGCTGCGTGCAAAAAAGTCGATCTTAGCTGAAGAGACAGCTCGCCTGTTCATCGCAACCGTCGTTCGCCTGCACGGGATACCAGCAGCGATCATCAGCGACAGGGACACGAAATTCACCAGCAACTTCTGGAGGAACTTTTGGGAGCAGTTCAGTACCAGGCTACAGTTCAGCTCGTCGTACCACCCCGAGACCGACGGTCAAACGGAGCGGACGAATCAGACGATGGAGCAGTTGATTCGTGCCACGTGCGACGACACCACCACCTGGGAGCAGCAGTTGTCGTTGATCGAGTTCGCGTACAACAACGCCACGTCAGCGACGACGCAGCAGTCCCCGTTCTACCTGAACTACGGGCAAAATCCAACAGTGCCCATGACGCCGAGTCCGGACAACCCCACGCCACGTGCACAGCAATTCGCCGAAATACTGCAAGCTGCCCGCACCAGAGCCGCAGAAGCAATTAAAAAGGCAAATGTCATCGCTAAGCGCAACGCTGACCGCCACCGCCGCCCCGTCACGTATCAGTCCGGAGACTACGTAGTGCTCGACACGCAAAATCTGCGACTGCCCGACGTACCGAAATTACGACCGCGCTACTGTGGACCGTTCCAAATCAGCCACATGATCACAACAGTAACCGCGCACCTACAGTTACCAACCGACTGGTACATCAGCCCATCATTCCACGTCAGCCTGCTTCGCCCATACATACCGACCACAAGCCAACTGCCGCGTCACCGCCCACTTTCAATGACTCGCCCTGCATCGGAGCCGATCATCGAGCCCGAAAAAATCCTGAGCCATCGGATTCGTCGCCCCACGGGAATCAAGAGGATTGAATTCCTCGTTCGCTGGAAGGACCGCACGCCAACTGAGGATAGCTGGGTGCCCCTGGCCAACATTGAAAACCACCCTGCCCTGCAAGTGTACCTGAGGAGCCGGGGATTCCGCGATATACACGCACTCGCGTAGCGGAGGGGGCTTCTTAAGGGGGGGGGTAGTGTAAGGAATTTTCTCGGCATTCCTTACGGAGTCCGGCTACATCGCGTACAGCACTGCCGTTGTTCGCCCGTTACTGCTAACGGGACTTCGCCAACTTCGCGCGCACTGTTTTGCCAAACCTCGCACTGCTGGCCCGGCCGTGTCGGCCTACGCTTCGGGACTAGCCCGAGCCTCATTGCCAGCATAGCACTAGCTAGCTCGCACGCACCGCGTTACCGTTTGCATGTTCGCATACAAATGTTCGCTCATGCCTTCGCTCACATCTTTGTACTCGTTTGACATACTAGTGCAATCCTCGCTACCTCGATCCATTGCACGCGTAACAATATACAATTCATTACTGTCTCTACTCAGCGCGTACACATTCCCGCCAACAGCTCTCAACAGTGCACCGTTACCACTCGTGACACTCGCCTCAACCACTGCTCCCGCCACTGCTCATGACGCTACCCAGCCCCACGGTTCGGTTGGTAACCCGCGCTCCGGACCTCCGTCTCGACAATTCCCAGCCTCAGCGCTAGGCCCGTAGCGCACCTCAATTTCACGCATAACCATTACCACGCTAGCTTCGCTATATATCTTTTGCTCATGCCTTCGCTCAATGTACTGTTTTGCTTCGATAGTGCAATTCTCGCTCGCTCGCTCACATTGCACTCGTTCACTTGGTATTCAGAGCCTACGATCTCCCCTCAGACCGCACCCACACCTTCGCTTCCCCACTATCTCAATTTTTGGAGGGGGTAGACGTCTCTCAGCTAACAAGCACCGCCGCTCGAAGTGCTCTCTCGTAAGCACGCATGACCACGACAGAGGCTCCCGATGAGCTTGCCCGACACCCCCACCAAGGCTGAATTTACCCTTGCGACGTTGAAGCGGGGCAGCTCGACCGCCTAGTGCGCCAAATTGAAGATTCGCAGCTCGAAATCGCGACACTCACGGCGAATGCACCAGCACCAATACACGCACCTACAAATGCACCCGCGCAAATGGACGAGCCGATCGTCATCTCGTCCGGCACACCGTCACAACACCACAGCGTGGGACATCGCCCCGTCGCAGCCCAATCAATGCCTGGCATGGAGAGGAACGGGGCCGCACCAAGCATGCAGGAGCCTCGGGCCCGTCGGCACGTGGAGTTTGCAGCAACGAGTGGCAACCGCGACGTTATGGCACCGATGCTACTCAAGCCGCAGCGCCCGCCCTGCTTTGATCCTAGCCAGTAGATTTTCACGATGAACCTTTTTTTTTTTTTTTTCATAACGAATTACGTCGAGTCGGACGCAGCGAAGATTCGCTGCTGAGGGGCCCCGCCATGGACTGGTGGCGAGTCATCGTGACGTCGCCACGCGCCTACGAGCTGCCGTCGAAAGATGTCAAACATTATATATGTTGTGTTTGTTTAGGCTACAGTGGGTTAGCCTATAGGGGGTACACAATTCTAGGGTTAGCCTATAGGGGGTACACAATTCTAGGGTTAGGTACTGATTTCACTGTTAGTTCAACCATTCCTGTCCGTTCATTCTGACATGGTATCAGAGCAGGTCCGTCACTAGGACCGTTTTAGGGCCCACCGTTACCTACCTACCTACCTACCTACCTACCTACTTACCTACCTACCTACCTACCTACCTACCTACCTACCTACCGTGCGCCTTCGTGCGCCTACGCGCCCTCGTGAGCCAGAGCGGGGGGGGGGGGGGGGGGGTGGTGGCGGTGGGGGTGGAGGTGGGACTGGAGAGGCTAGTGGCGGCAGTGGGGGTGGTGACAGCAGCGGCGGGAGCAGTGGCAGGGGCGGAGGCGGCAGCGGAGGCGGAGGTGGTCGTGGCGGCGGCAGGGGTGGAGGTGGCCGAGGCGGTGACGGCGGCGGTGGTGGTCGTGGAGGCGCTGGCGGTGGCCAGAGCCAGCAGCACGCCCCGTCGCTCCAGGAGGCACGTGAGTGGTACTCGCAGCGGGGGGGGGCGGGTGGCTTTACCTGCACGTACGTCATCCGCACTGGTGACCGCACTGGCCAGACGTGTGGGAGGCCGCACCCCACGCACCGCTGTTTCTCGCGCCTTACCGACGCTTGGCGCGCTCAGTTCCCTGGCGGCGCTGAGCTTCCCCGCTGGGGTGATCTGGAGAGGAAGGGAGTTGATATCTGGGCCTTAGACTTTGATGCTATTCTCACTGCCATGTATGCGATGTTTACTAGTGGAGAGGGTGCTCAGTACTTGCGTGTTCCGCCCGACCCGGGCATTCTGACCAGTCCGGCTGCCGCTCTAGGTGCTAGTGAGTCTGCTGCCCCAGGTCCTGGTGAGGCTGCTGCTCTAGGTGCTCGTGAGTCGGTCCCCCCTGGTACTGAGTCGACTGCAGCACTTCACACCTTCACACTGGACTCTGGTGCTTCTCGCTGTTTCTTTCGTGACCGTACTGTCCTTGAGCCACTCGCTCGGCCAGTTGCTGTCTCCCTCGCTGACCCCTCTGGGGGTCCGGTCATTGCGACCTCCTCCACTGTCCTTCCTTGTCCTGCGGTCCCGTCAGGCACACTGTCAGGCCTCTACCTCCCCTCGTTCTCTACGAACTTGGTGGCAGGTCGTGCGCTCCAGGACGGGGGTGTTCACCAGTTCACCCCTGCATACGAGCGCGTGACACACTGCACGTGTGCTCGGACGGGCCGTCACCTGGCTACCTTCACTCGGCAGCCGGGGTCGGACCTGTACACACTGACCACTGAGTCCCCTCAGGTAGCTGCGTCCGCGTCTGCGTTTGCGTCAGGTCAGCTGTCCGCCCCCTGCTCGTGTCGCTCTCTGGCGCATGAGACTGTCCTCTGGCACCACTGCCTTGGTCACCCGTCTGTGCAGCGCCTTCGGGCCATGCACAAACGGGACCTTGTTGCT